CTTTGAGCACAGCCTGGGCAACTTAGTGACTGAGAAAGCCTGTCTCAAATTTTAAAAAATGAATGAAAAGGGGATGGGAATATAGCTCAGTGCAAAGGCTTTTCTTTCAATCCCCAGTATGCCCCATAAACACACAGAAAAACTTTTAATTTTCCTTTTTGTTTGTGAATTAGGGCTAGTTCAGCTTCTGAGGTTTTTGCGAAGTTCTGCCTCAAAACAACTTTGCTAAACAAAAATCAGCTAAAAATGTCTCATATTAGCAAAGTTTTAATAAAAAGAAATCTTTCATAAATAGAAACTGCTCAAAAGGAAAGAACAACTGGGATGGGGAAAGGAGAAAACAAGGAAGTGATAATTTAAATATATATATATATATATACAAGATAGCTAAGATAAGTGTACTACTAACTTCTATTAGTTCATTGAAAGGAACAGTTAGTGCTTATATTGTTTGATCAGCTTTGCATGCCTGTACCTGGTAATCTGAGCAACTACTTTGCAGATAACAATACGCAATATAATAACCATTGTTAAGTTTCTATTATCTTGTTTTGAAATTCTCTATCATTTTCATTGTTTTTCTCTCTTTAAAATTTAAAAAAAAGAGGTCAGAAAAAAAGAATTAAAATATTTCCATTCTTCCCAAGATATAACAAGCATTTTTTTCAACATGACTGTATAGCAGTAGAGGCAAAACAATTATACTCTTAAAGCAGAATATAAGAAAATGAAAACTGGTTTTGCCCAGTTTTTATCTGTATTACCTTAGGAAAGTTATGTGATATATCCGAACTTTGTGTTAAAGAAGGCAATATTTATAACACTATGTGGTAGACACCCAATAAGACTTGGCTGTCATTAACCTAGAGGCAGTAGTTACTACACATAATCTCTCTAATTTAACTGAGAATTCTTGTAAAGCAAGAATACCTGATTTACAAAACTTCTGAAATTGTGATGAAATAGTAATAATACTAAATTTAGCAAGTAGTGAAGATGATATAGTACATTTCACAGAGATTTTAATTAAACATTTATTGTTTCAATCTTGCAGCTTTCTTCTAGTATTCAGGGCCCATTATTCCCCCTTTCTGGTCACAAATGTTTTCATTTGAGAACTTCACAGGCCCTAAGCACTGTGCCCATTGGAGCCTTGACGGGTAAAATGGTCTTTACCTAGGGAAGTGACACAGCGCTGGGTGCTAGCCTTTGTGGTCCCAAGTGCCATTCCAGTAGTGGCCTGCCTACTGGAGAGCACTTTTCCTCAGCCAGAGTTTGGAAATGCTTCCAGACATTTTGGAGAGCTTACTAAACAGAAATTCCAAGGTAGGAGAATAACTCAGAACCCCAGTCATTGTTGATGTGCCAAAATTCTTAAATTACTTTTGGCTTAGTTCAGGACAGGCCAAAACCTACCCTGTATTTTTGGCAAAAATAGGAGAAATGATTTAGTAGGAAGTTGAAACTGGCATCAATCCAGAGACAGCAAAAATCCTCTTGAATGAAAAGGGATGCTCTGTGAGAGACATATGGATAGCATGTCATTTTAATTCCAAAATGTTGTCTCATGTGTTCAAAGAATGAAATTAAAAATTTACCTCAATATATAAAAATAGAAAATATTATTCAGTATTTCAAAAGGTTTAGATTTCAGGAGCTATTATTTTTTAAAAGCCTATAAAAAGACACTTAAAAATGTACGATATTATTTTTAAAATTCGAGGCAGTGGTTCTCAAAGTGTGGCATATTGTGGACCATGAGGGCAAAGATATTTTAAAGTAATGCTAGGATATATTTGTCTTTTTAATTTGCATTTGAAAATTGCATTGCAAACTCAATGGTAGGTAAAACTAATGATTCCTTAGCACAAACCAAATCAGTGGCAACACAATTTACCAGTAGTGACACCACCACTAAAATTAGAGGAAGTAACTAAGACAGATATTTCTGCCCCTGGCCCCCAAAAGATTCATGTGTACCTCCTTATGCAAAACACATCTAGTCCATCTCTAAGAGTTATCAAAGTCCTAACAGTTTCCATGTTGCTAAAAAGTCCAAGTCCAAAGTGTCCTTCAAGATTTAAGTCAAACTTTTCTCTGAGCCCCCATAAAAATCAAAAACTTCAACACTGCCAATATACAGATGCACAGGATAAACATTTCCATCCCCAAAGGGGAAAATAGACAGGAATGAGACTAATGCAAGACCAAAATCCAGCAAAGCAAACATTAAATCCCATAGTTCCATAGTCAATACCTTGGGGCAGATTGTGGTGAGATGTGAATACCAAAGGACTTGAGCGGTACCACTCGTACAGCACTGCTGGTAGTTGCAGCCCTCACGGCTTCTCTCTTAGGCCAGCTTTGCTCACTGCTTGCAGCTTTTCCCAGACGTTTTGTGTTCCTGGTTTCTCCACTTTTTGGGGGTCTCCACTGCACTTTTGCCTTCACACTTGCAGTTCAACACACTGATCTCTCAGGAGCACATTGGCTGGCCTCCCAGACTTTCTTCTGAAATGTGAGTAGAAGCCTCCCTGACCCCACAATTTTTGCATTCTGTGTGTATATAAAACTAGTGCCACACAAATAACACCAAGGTCTGTCTGAGCTTGAGCAGTAGCTGAGCCTTTTTGCATCTTCCTGGTACTTGCAGAGGAATCTGAGGGCCTGGATGACTGAGCAAGGTAAATTAAATCCTGGGAAATTGATTCTTACTACTTAGGCTGTTGCTATTCTGAAGCATGATGTGCTGGAGCTTCCTTCTCAAAGCTAAGTCTTCCATTTTTTCACCCTTGGATCTATGAAGAGTAAGTAGAATTTTTCAGATTCCTCACATGCCCTCAAGTAATCCTTTGCATTGTCCAGATTCAAAGTCTTTAACTTCTTTTTAGTACTAATCCTTTTAGCAACAAAATTCTAGTCTACTTTGTCTTTGCATGATCCAACTTTACTGGAGCTTCCTTTCTGGCCAAATTAAAAATTTTTAATCATTCAGCTGTACCTTTTGCTCTTAACTCTCAAGATAAAAGTGGCTAAGCAATGCCAACAATAGCCAAGCAACAGCCTGAATGTTTGGCTGCCTTGAAATTTCTTCCACTAGATTAATCAATCCACCACCCTTAATCTCAGCCACTTCACAAAGTTCAGGATTTTAAGCAAAATGTAGACAAATTTTGTGGCAGAGCATAACATACATGACTGGAGCCCAACTACCACTAAAGTCTTTGTTCCCAATTAAAATCGCCTCAGCCTGATCTTTACTGTCTGCCTTTGAATTGCATTCTGGTCTTCTGAGCTTCCAGAATCTCCACCAAGCTCAGTTTACAACATTCTAGAGCGACTTCTCCAGCTAGAATGTTTAAAACTTTCCAAACTCCTCCCAAGAACCATTTCTGAAGGCCTCTAAGATACATGGTCACAAGAATGACCCCACTTTTGTGGCACCAATATCTGTCTTATCTAGATTCTCAACACTGAGACACAATACTCAACACCCACAATTTAAAAAGGAAAAATTTATTTTTGCTCACAGTTTGTAGAGATTTCAGACCATAACTGGCTGGCTCTAAACAGGGTGGAATGGCAGAGGAGAATTGCTTATAGCATTATAGACGAGATATACCCTTCCTGGCCATGCCCACAGTGACCTACCTCCTCCTCCAGCCAGGCTTCACCTCCAAACATAACATTTAGTAATAAACTCACCAGTGTACTAATCCATTGAGGAATATCATGATCCAATCATCTCCTAAAACCCCAACTATGAGTACACAAAGTTTGGGAGAACCCGAAGACAAAAACAATCACAGGGGAAAAAAAAATCTCACTCAAGAATATTCTTGATTAAGCAGTAAAAAAATTTTAATAGTATTAAATTTGACCTTCTAACATCTTTTTAATATTACATATGTTATAATGTACACATAAAGCACTTCTGCTGCTTACCAAAATGGAATGTTTGTCATACAGAATGTACGAACTGAGCTAGCCACTTTTTTCCTAGAATACCATTTACATACTTGGAAAAATAACTGACAGCAAATGATGGTATTTATGTTTAGATGTTTAACAAGCACTTTTAGAACAAAAGCTGCATGTAGATAGCCTTATTTTAACAAAACACCAAGTCTGAAAACTTGTTGAAAAGTTTCAAGCTTTTAAACTAAAATTAGAATTTTGAAAAAAAAATGTTGTCTACCTCTTTCAGCATGAACGCTTCCTAATACTCAAAGACCTTCCTGAAATTGGTGGTGATATTAATGAATATGACACATTGATATTTTATAATAAAATGAATCAATATTTAGAAGATCCACACATTGCCATGAACCATTATTTTCCTAATGATCAGTGCGTGTTATTATACATCCATTCAAAATGAAAAGAGGGGTCAATGAAATTTGAAGTAACAGAATATGAATGTTAAATGATCTGGCCTAAGATCATACATTATTCATTACTTCTAAAAAGTTGTCATTTGTCAAATTTTGGTAGAACAAGAAGAAATAACACCCTCAATTATCTGAAAAAGCTAGTGAAATACTCTACCCTATCTGGTTACGTACCACCATAATGCCATATTTTCTTCATATATTTCAGCCAAAACAATATATTATAAATGCAGAAACAGATATGAGAATGCATCTTCCAGGAGTCCACTTATTTTCAATATTTGCAGATGCATAAAAGAATAAGCCACTCATCACTATTTTTCCATAAAAATAGCATTATTTTTCATAAAATATGCCAGTTAACATGTAATGGATTTTTATTTATGTAAGAAACAAATATCTTAATACTTTTCTTAGTTTTAATTTCTAATAATGTAATATTGATAGGTATAACTCACATAAACAAAAGCTTTCTGGTCTTCAGTAATTTCTACAAGTGAAAAAAGTGTCCTATGACAAAAATCTTGAGACTACTGTGATAGGCTTATATGTGTTCTAAGCCAGCAACCATTGTGACATCACGATGATGTCAGTGATTATCATGGGAAGGGGTCCCTGCAGTTGACCATGGTTTCACAGAGCTCTCAGTCTGTCTTGGAAGAAGTTACCACCTAAGAGTGTCTGTTGCTGTCTTTGATGTTCTCCCTTGGGCATTCTATGATGTTACCCAGAAAGAAATCCAGCAAACAGTAAGAGAAAAGCCATTTCATCCTGACATTGGCTCTTTCTGTGATTCTTGTCACACTTCACCACACCCTGCATCTTATTCCACAATGAAAGATGTACAAATTTCGTACCAAGAGGATAAAAGCTGCTGTTGGATATATGTGGACTTCAAATCTTTGCAAGATCAGGCAATCTCTCAAAAATGTTTATCAAAAATGTAAGATCCAGCACCAAGATTCAACCATCAGATACCCAACAATGACTTATGACTGTGACCAAAATAGCATCAGTTCAGATGAAGAAATGAATCTTAAAGTACTGCTCCAAGATATTAAAACTACCCAAATTGAACTCCTCAGCAAAATGACTGACATTGTCAGTGCAGTATCAAAAGTCCAGGAAAAGATTGACCACTATGAGAAGCAGGTAGAGGCCCTAGAAACCAGACTGAATGCTAATGAAGACAAACAATTCACAACCACTAAAGATGTCCTACTTGTAAAAGAAGACACAAGTACTTTAAAGAACAAGGTGGCAGAACTGGAAAACCAGAAATCTGGGGCCAGCATATATTGTTTAGAAGTTCTGGAGAGAGAAAAAGATAAAGAAATTATAGAACTGCTTCACAAATTTATACAACTGGAAACTATGAAGGATGCCACAGCTTGTGTGGACTCTGAAATCTCTACAGCAGAACCAAGGAAAGTGCCTAGTTATCCAGAGCCCGCTGAGCATCCTGAAGAAAAGGAAATCTCTCCAAAGATTAAAACTCTGAGGAAAAGTAATCCCCAAAAAGTACCTAGAAGCCTTAAAAGAGCAAAGTCAAATATTAATATTTACCCAGACTTTGGTACCTGGATCAAGCTAACTTCTGTTCATGGAGGAAAGTGGACATTTTTCCTCAAGGCTACCAAGTTAAAGGACTTCATCAAGTGGCTTCTTTCTACACCAACACTCCTTCCTGAGGAGCCACAGATCATACCCAAGAGAGAATTTCCACTCTCCAGACCTATTGCAAGCTTGAGCGCAGTCTGTCTGTCTCTTTTCAACTATATTTGCTGCCTTTTTGGTTCTTCAAAAGAGGAAGTAACTAGACTATAGAGTGTTTTTCTTTTCTCCTTTGCTTAGTACAAAATAAATGTAATCAGTTGGCTATAAGCATTCACACGCCTTCGTGAGGACTTTGAACTCCTTATTAGCTTGCTCACTATGGGTCCACAGTTTGCAGAATTCATAGCCATCTACAGCAAGTTAAGGTGTCTCATCCCATTGGACTACTGTCACCAGTTTATGTCCGTGGTCTTATTTTCTCAAAGGTAACACATGTGGACTCATTTCCTGTCTCTTTGTATATATCATTAGCAGCAAAGAATGAAGGGGATTCAAAGGAATGTGAAACACATTTGGGAGCCATCTTGTTGGTTTTCTAGACACTTTCATCCTAGTGGCTTGTATAGACAAAATTTGTGACATGAGGAATGTACTCTATAGACAAAAGTTTAAACAGCATAGAGTAAAAAAACAACAAAAAAAATCCACTGTAAGTCTACCAAGTTACCACTATGAGAATGGGGGTGATTGAAAGACCTAGTACAAGGAAAGTATTAATTTTAAAATGTCTTTTTATTTCAACTTCAGCTTTATCAGACAATTAAATAAGAAGAGAAAGGATTGGTATGGTCCTTGGTAATTTTCACATTTTCATGAAAGGAGACAAATGCAATGTCCTTAGATTTAATACAGAGAAAAAGGGAAAATCTGAGAGATTTGTGAAGTTAAATCTTAACCGTACAAAACCAGAAATCCTTATATGACAAGGTACTTTGTAAAAGCCATTAGTTCAGGGTAGGTTTCATTTTTACACACAATAGGTGGTTGCCATTGCAATGTACTTTTTGTAAATATGGAGAATATTTTAAAAGTATCTCCTTTTCCACTTAAATCAGTGAATGTAATGTACCAGTAGTCATTCATGTGGAGTTATATGTTGTTAAACTACAGATATTCTTAGTAAATACACTACTTGTAATTATTCTTAGTTTACAAATTCAAAGGGAATCTTGGCGGGGGGTACTTTGGCAGATTGCTATGAATAACCCAGTCTCATAGCAGAGAAAGGAGCTAACGTGGGTATAGTAAAAATATTTGGAGGACAAATACAATAAAAAAAATTTGGAGGACAAATACAGTAGAACAATGTTGTCTGGTGGTGGTCTGATGGCAACTGCACACTACAACTCTTTATAAACATAATACAAATTTGCAGATAGGATATATACACAACCACTTTTTTTGTTTGTTTTGAGACTGAGTCTCACTATGTTGTTCAAGCTGGCCTTGAACTCACTTATGCAGCCCAGCCTGGCCTCAAACTCATGGTTATCCTCCTGCCTCAGCCTTCCAAGTGCTGAGATTACAGGTGTATGCTACCACGCCCAAACTACACAACCACTTTTAAAATGTCAATATATAATATACCTAATAAAAGCAGGGTATACTTAAATGTTACTTTTTGAATGAGAACTGTGCTTACAAAATAAACTGTTGTTGTGGTAGTAGCATTAGCAATCTCTGTGTACTTATTCACCATCAATAATAGGCAAAAGGGCCAGCCAGATCTCTTTTCAGCACACTGGGTTCTGGTCTCCCATCAAGAGAGTAGGGAAGATAAATCATGACACAGGAAAATGATTTCACAAATGCTCCCAAAGAAGAAAAAAGCTGGTGTATCCCTGGGTCCTCTGAGCCTCTGTGTATTAGCACACATGTTCACTTCCCCTCCTCACCTGGTCTCTTAGCAGCACTTGAAGTTTTAAGACAGACAAATGGTTGAGGAAAAGAATATAGGCTTGGGGATCACGAAACATACATCCTGAGCCTAAATTCTAAACCCTCTGCTTATAAGCTCGGCTGTTTAATCTCAGCCAGGTTGGTTCTGTTATCTGCAAAGAGGACTATCACATTAATTTAGTATTTTTTCAACTAATAGGAAGAGGTCATGAAGGATAAGAGAAAAAGTAGCAGAGACCCTGTACTGTAGATGCATCTCATTGAACGGGGCAGATAAAATCTGTACACAAAGGAGCCCCACCCTGGACAGAGGAGAACGGACAGCGGAGAGCAACATAAAAGGTGCTCCAGGTGTCAGAGGGGAGAGAAGGCACAAGAGGCTTTTGTAAGCAGGAGGAAAGGAGGAGCAGGTGAGGGCAGTGCAGCAGGCAGAAGGAAGAATAAGCCAGAGAGTAAGAGGCAAAGGTGACGGGGGAATCTTACCCCTGTTAATGAATTAAGTTCTCCGGAATCAAAGAGGATTGTGCTTTTGAGTCAGTTATTTATTATCACCCATAGACAAGATACCCCATGACTCGATAAAATGATAATTTACCTTAGAACTGCAGGCGAGCAAGCACATTTTCCTCAGGCCTTGCCTTCAAATTCAGCTGCCGCTCACCTGCGAGGCTCCGTCCTTCCCGCTCAGAAGTGCCACTCTTCGCACATCCTTCCTCCAGCGCCATACAGTGGCTTCCATTATTTCCCTTTTTCCTTTCATCTCCCACTCTCTGCCAAGTCTTAGTACTCAGCTTACAAAACTACTCACTCGTTTCCCTAGTTTCCATATCCCCATGCCAACTGCCCAACATCGTTTTCAAGGGGAAGACACCTTCCCCCTCCCCGCCCTCCCCTCTTCCGTTCTCTCCACAAACCACAGGATCATGTTTATTCTCTTTGTATCGCTCCAGCAGATCCTTAGCAGTTTTCTTAGGTGATTCTTCTAGCAGGAATCACTCCTATAAAACAACAAATGCCGTACTTTAGTGGCTGGCAACCGAAGAACTCCTAATGAGCCTCTCCTGAGAGCTTCTGTGCTTTTGACACAAGTGACTACTTACTTTCTCCACTTGGAGGTCCCAAAAAACAATTGTATGTAAGTACAGTTAATAAATGACTTGTGTATATAGTCAGATAAGAAAACCACGTGCATTCACTCAAATATTTCAAAAGCGCATTTGTTGAGGGATGTGGTGGATTAATTAAAGGTTAATTTAGGTGGGAATGCCCAGAAGAACTGAGTCAGCATAGTTCTGGGCACGGAAGACCCACCAAGATTGTTGCTGAACCGCATAAAGGAGAATGAGAGGCGAAGACTGTCTGCTGCTGATGTTCCAGAAGAAGCTTTGTTATGGCTGGTTTTCCTGACACAACTCAGCTGTCCTCATGGAGGAGATGCTCGAGTCTTCTCCATCGCTGGGGAAAACTACTGTTCTCTTGGGGTAGCTCTGGTCTTCACCTGGGTCTTGAGTGTTTCTTCCTGGGTCTGAGGTAGAACCTCTCGGGTCGAGGGACCTGGGCCCGTAGTAAGCGGCGACGGTGAACAAAGAGGACACTGGAGACCAGGCTGATGGCACAGATCCACTTTATTGTGGAAGTACCAGGCATTTTATTGAGCAGGCTAGAGGCGTGGCAATGGAGGTGGTACTTTTGGCTGGTGGGGGCGGCTATGCGGAAGTAAGAGGTCAGAGCGGGACAGCCTAGGCAGGACGACTCACTCCGTGTGCCGAAGACATGAGGAGTCCGAGTGTGCTCAGACTCGCTCCTCCGCCACGGCTGTCAACCAGACCTCTGGACCTCTCTTTCCCACGTGGGTCCAGTGCAGATCTCTCATTTTTCTGGCACAGATCCTTCATCCTACCAGAGCAGACACTCTGGCGTCCACACTGGCCCTTGGGCCTTTCAGGTGCAGATCCTTGATATGGATTTACATGAGATGTTTCGATTGGCTCTAGGCCTTCACCTGGGCTTGTCAGGGTCATGACTATGGGATCCAGGCCCTCAAATGGATTCTTCAGGTCTCTAGCACATGGACAGATCTCTTGCACTCTTCTGCATTTGGCTTTTTAACTAAATATTATAAAATAATCCTATAAATGTATGTGTCCTGAATTACTTTTATTCCTTTGCAAACCTTGACTAAAACAGGGAGATAGCACTCACTGATGAAAAGAACTGGGACTTTCAAAGCAGAACGGAGTAAAAACAGTTACTTACTTAAACATATATATGTATCAGGCCCTATGCTAGCAATTAAGTATATAATGGGGAAGCTATTAACTATACAATTATTTAAAAATTCCTTAACCCCAGTATTATTCAGTTCTCTCAGCTGCAAACTGAGAATAATTCACTTTCCAAGGCTGTTGTGTTAATTAAATGGCATAATGTGTCATCTATCCAGAAGTGTCTGATTTAGTAGATATCAAATCATGGTTGTTTCCTTTCCTCTCTAAAAAAGATGAAGTGATGCTATAGATGTATGACTAGTGGGCCTGAATATGAACAGGACAGGGGCCCAGCCTAAAGAGCCCTCATTTTATCTGCTATAAAGAATTCCAGACATACAATGAACCAAGTGACAAACTAAACACAAAAGCTCAAACCAACTTTTGACTCCCCCATCCAAAGACAGTCTGATGAGAATAACACATGGTGTGAAACTCCCCTCCTGACCTGGGCGTTCACCCAATACCCCATCTGCAGCAGCCATTTGCCAACCTCTAATTGCACACTTTATAAATAAGCAGCAATGAAAAAGGATTTGGAAGGAAGAAGGAAGGGTAAGTTTAAGATAAATAATTTAGTTCAGTTAGGAATGCTTGCATGAATAGATATAGTCTCTAAAAGCGTTCTATTTATTTAAAAACAACATTCATCAACATTTATTGAAATCTACTCTTTATCACGAACTAGCTGAGAGAGGTGCGGACAGATAGAAGTGAAAGACACCAGTGCTATCCCAAAGGAACATACTTCTATTTGTTTTTTCATGAATAAACTGGGAATTATTTATGGACCATCTATATTTCCAGCTCTAAAAAAAGAAGACAGACAAAACCCCTGCTCTAGAGAGTTACCCGTTTATCATACAGTAGGTCAAGCACTGATTCTGAACTACTCTGACCCTACAATTCACCTGTCAAACTGTGCAGATACTGATTTCCTCTGTAAACACAAACACAATATTTTGGTATGGACACATTTTTTGAATACTCAAAATAAGTGCTTGTAAGTCTGTATGTGGATAAGAAATACACTTTGCTTTCTAAGACTATGTCAAGTATTTTGTGTTCCTTTTCAGGTTTTCTAGCACGCTCTGGGGACCGTGGGCATTC